AATTCCCAGTAAAGTAATAAGTAAGTAAGCTCTTGGGGTCAAAATAAGTCTGCTGTGTACTGTCTGCACCTGATTTTAAAGTGCTTTATTGTCTGATAATCAGGAGTTGTGTGATTAGTATGATATATAAGTTGTGCAAAGTGCCCATAAACTCATTGCTGTGAAAAATTAGGATGCTCTGAATGCACTCTTTGTAATCTTTGGATCACTGTAAACTGTTTAAACTAGTTCTGTTTTTCATTCATTCATTTTAGTAAATTTTTAAGAGTAAAAATCAGGTACCTAAACCGTAACCATAGCCTATTTTTACCCTTAACTTTTTTGTCATTGTTTATCTAATAATAAAGGATTACATCATAATTTCTGCCTCCATAAGGGCAGCATCTGAGCTCCCCATGAATTGAGCATGTATAGGCTAGATTTAAGTCTCCACATTGTGATAAATACCTGCCCAGAAACACAGCAGCTCTCCAGGACGGGATGGGCTTGCACTTGAAGAGGGTATTAAATATTCAGCTTGCTTTGCCTGTTGGCCTGTGGGGAATGCAGGTTTGGGCCTAATTACTGAAGGCAAGTGCATATTGTTATGGACAGCTGGGTGGGTATTTACTAAACGTGAGCTACCGTTGAATGTGAAATGTGAAATCACATTTAGTCCCATGTTTTATGCAAATAGGAAATGGGTTGGATGCCCCTGTGACCCCGGCGCTCATCATTAGTAGCTAATGAAGGAACATGATACAAGGGAGGGCCCTGTTTAGCAAACCACTGACACTAATGTTTTTTATGCATAATAAGGGAAATTCACCCAAAAATGACCTTGTAGCTTCCCTCACAAGCAGGTTGGTTTGAAACAGCAGATTGAAAAATTAGTCAACTGGACTAACACTGAAGAGTTAAAGATGTTTTGGCTCTCATCACCAGCGCCTTACCCTCAAGTGGCTTCACTTGTTCTTTCGAAATAGGTTGCATCCAGGTAGAATGTCCACTGTTTAAAATTGTAGAACTTCCTGTTTAACTGTCACAGAGTAGATTTGTTTGCATAATTTATGATTAATAACAATCATAGTTACTAGATCTATACAAAAGCTTTATTTGAAGTTTATTATTTCACTCTGGGAGAGACAATTGCCTTTGCTTATTAAAATTACAACTGTTTGCAGGAGAAACACATCTTTGAAATACCTTGAACTTGTTTGTCTTGATTTCTGCAATAATCATATTTGAAACAGACAAACAAATAACTCATTTAGTGAGCTTGCAAGCCTTCATTTGAAATTGGTGTTTTGCACGTCCAATAACATTTGAATCACTCAAAATGGATATTACACATTTGAATACTGTGTTTAAATGACCACTAGCCATTAAAAAAGTAGAGAAAATTATAATAACCTTAATTATGCAAATAGTTTCATCGAAATTGTTGTTTTGGTGAATCATGTTTGTTGAAATACTTTAGGTTTAGCATTGTATTGTCTTCTCCTGCCCTGCCAAGTCAAACTGAATAAATATAATCTAATCCTAACATGACAACATTAGTACATCCGATAACAGAAAGGGAACATTGGTACAGTAGGTCTCCCTTCCTCTCGCTCTCTAGATGTAAACTCTGTGAACCTGAAAAATTGTACATAGATAGATAGCTATATATAATTGTAGTGCCTGATTTCATTTAGTCTTATCAGAGTACAAAGAGTCTCAGAACTCTGTAGACGTCCATGCAACACTGTGTGGCCTCAGTAAACCCTGCGGCTGTGTAAAGTGTTGTTCTACCACGAGAGCCCACATCCTTGTAATCTGCTCTGGTCTTGACCCCGTTGGCGTGCAGCGCTGGTGCGAAGAAAAGAGAGATGAAAAGAGAGGTGTTAGTGGAGTGAGATAGGAGTGTGGTAGAGCTATACATCACGACTCGCTAGCTTTCACACGCGAGAAACAATGCACATCCAAGGTTCACTTTTCACACCGTCTATTGTCTTCAACGTGATTCATTAGGGACGCACAAGAGCGGCTAGTCTGTCAAAATAGATTAGCCCTGATCTGTTGCCTTTCCGCTAACCAAACTATTTGAGATTGCCGTAGTGACCAAGGCGTCTTCAATCTCCTTGCGCTTATTAAAATGCTGCCAACGCTTGATCTAACTTTTTCAAACCTGTCTAGACTCTTGCAATCATTTCACAATTTTTTTCAGCGACAGCAGCTGTTTGATTCCCCGGAGTGTGATTAGGAAGTTCCTTAACATCAGGTCATTTCTGAAAGTTCCCATCCATCACCAGTGTCTCCTGGGTGTCCTAACATAGAAGTGTGCTATTTAAGAAACCAATAGGGCATAAACATTTCGCTATGCCCTTTAAATTCGCTCTCACAGGTTTGAACTTGTAGCCTACTGGAGCTAAAATGGCTCAAAGTCCAACAGTGTAACAGGGTTAGCCTAATCAAAAGGTCAAGGTAGGTGCACAAGCAAGTTACCTGTCCAGTCCAATTAAAGCTTATGACCGCTTACTGGTGACAATGTGTAATCCGGTTTTGCTATTGGCCCAGGATGCCGCCTCCATGCACTGACCTTGCATTGGATTTCACACCAACTGGGACAGGAATAATAGGTGTGTTACGGATCCACCGCCTCCCTAATCAGCAGTGCAACAGGCTAGACTCTATTGTGCTCATGAGATTATATCATTAGTAGCTGGCTCAAGTGTGTCAGTGGGGCTTACCTCTTGTCTGTGCACCATATTGTACAACATGTCACACACTGTAGCTTCTTTCAGCCCTGGATAGAGAGGGATAGAGAGGGGATGGCAGTGATGATGATGACACAGTAGTTAGCTACAGTGGTGGGGGAGAGGTATCAATAAATTATTACAACAAACTACTAAAAATACTTTCAGCAGACTTGTGTTGTTACATTATGAACACGCTGATGCTAGAATATTAAAGTGTGTCAACCCTTCACAATACATATTAAATGCCTTTTTGTTTCATGTTCAAACTATCATACAATATAAATTATAATGGGTATAGTATTGATCATTTTGAAAACTTCAAGCTTTCCCAGACTATAGCTACCTATAGCGGTCTAATACTAAAGTTAATTCTATAACAGCCAGGTGCGTAAAGGTGCACTGTAGTTTTTCTAGTGGAGAGTTCATCACCTGCTTTTCTCCATTACTCTTTGCTTGGAATGTTCCACACTAGGCCATTAAAACTTATCTATCTTCAATGAGGCAAGCAGGTAGCAGGAACAGCACATTAAAGGTCAGATCAGTGGAGAGTCGACTCTCATTTTATTAAGGTACTGTTGAACAATTTAAAACTGCATTTGGTAAAAAGCAAGACAGATTAACATTAATACTTCAGACTTGAACATTCCAGGCAAAGTAATAACATCTCAAAAGAGACAAGCAGATGGCGAACCCTCGAGCAGCAGAAAGATTATAGCTCACCTTTAATTCGAGCCTACATCAAAATGCATAACAAGACTTTGACTTAAATTACAGTTGATCGTATCCTACTAATAGAGGATTTGACAAAACTTCGTGGGAGCTGTATTACTGGTCATACACTGCTTCTCTCATTCATTGCTATAGGCGTTTGTGGGAGATAACATGATGAAGAAGAGGAGAGGCAGGGGAGCTTTAAAAATGTATCAATACAACATGTAGCTTTCCCAGCCTCCTGCTTCACTGTCTCACCAAAGTGCATCAAGACACATACATACACACATACATACACACTCACACATAACACGCACACATACACAGACACACAAACCCCAGAGATCATGGTAGCTTTTCAAATTATGACGTGCCATTTCAAAAAGTCACACAATGTAGTCATGCAGGTAAAATGCCCACAAATGAGGAGGTTTTAGCAGGTATTTGAGTCCCTTGTGGAATGTAATTTAAAGTCTCAAAAAGGAGTCGTGACACAACAGTTTCCAAAAGAGAATATGACTCTTTTCTTTGACATTGTTCAAACTCCCTTTCACTTTGCCTGTGCACTGTAACTTTTAGAACGTTTCTGGGTAACTTCTGTTGTTTAGCTGTCTTAATGGAGATGCTATTGCTTTTCCTGTAATGCTCCACCATCTGGCATTAAACTTGAATATCTTCACTGAGGCATGCATCATGCATCAGGCAAAGTTACAGGTCAGATCTGTAGGGAGGCAAGCCTGCTCATTCCTATTGCTATTTTGTTAAACTGTATTCAAAATTCACCGTCTATGTTTTTAGCTAAGGGAGGTTAGCAGTATTTATATTATAAGTTATTTTTTCATCCAGTGCCCTCAGTCATGGGCGTCATCATTAAAACTGGAGCCCCAATTATCAAAGGTTTTGATCTTGTCTCCAAATGACTGGTGCACTTATGCAGAAGATATACATAATTGATACTTTGTAGCTAGAGGTGTAATGATATCGAAGTCTCACAATACGATATCGTGATGGTATGAAAGTCATGGTATGAACATCGCACTACGATATTTATTGCAATATCGTGGGAAAGCTCACAATATGGTGAGGAGGCTCACGATTAGAGTTGTAACAATATCTAAATCTATTACGATATTTACGCAATATTTTCACATCTCACGATACGATATTTGTTGCGATATTTTGTGGAGGCAAACAAAATTGTGAATATGCTACTTTTTCCTCTTAAAATGCCTTGGCAAGACTTAATCCAAAGAACTAAGACTTAAAAGTGCTTAGAACTGTTATTTCTTCTTGTAGTCTGCACTGAAATGGAGCAAAGGATCATGGTCTATGTAGTTCCCTCCGTCTTTTTTTTTTTTTTTTTTGCTTTTGCTGCACCATAACTCTTAATTTAAACAAAGACACTTGTAATTCAATACATTGTGATGGTCCACAATATTATTGCGAGAACTCTGACGATACGATATCACGATATTTCGGTTTTTGTTACATCCCTATTTGTAGCATACATAAACTATTGTAAGTGGGCTAACTGTAATATAAATTTATTTTGTCTTTGTGTGCTTTCAGATTTTGGCGATCATCTCCATACTCTTCATTGTGCTCTCCACTATTGCCTTGTCCCTGAACACCCTCCCAGAGCTCCAGGACACAGATGAGTTCGGGCAGCCCACAGATAACCCCCAGCTGGCCCATGTGGAAGCTGTGTGCATCGCCTGGTTCACCATGGAATACCTCCTCCGCTTCCTCTCCTCCCCAAACAAGTGGAAGTTCTTCAAGGGTCCACTGAACATCATTGACCTGTTGGCCATCCTTCCATATTATGTCACAATATTTTTAACAGAGTCTAACAAAAGTGTGCTGCAGTTTCAAAATGTCCGCCGTGTGGTGCAGATTTTCAGGATCATGCGAATCTTGCGTATCCTCAAATTGGCTCGGCACTCCACGGGTCTACAGTCTTTAGGTTTTACACTTAGAAGGAGCTACAATGAACTTGGACTGCTCATTCTTTTCCTAGCCATGGGCATTATGATCTTCTCTAGTTTGGTGTTTTTTGCCGAAAAAGACGAGGAGGACACCAAATTTAAAAGTATACCAGCGTCATTTTGGTGGGCTACTATCACAATGACTACAGTTGGCTATGGGGACATCTACCCAAAAACTTTACTAGGGAAGATAGTTGGGGGGTTGTGTTGCATTGCTGGAGTACTGGTGATAGCATTACCAATTCCAATCATTGTTAATAACTTCTCAGAGTTTTACAAGGAGCAGAAACGCCAGGAGAAAGCCATTAAAAGAAGGGAGGCCTTAGAGAGGGCAAAGCGAAATGGTAGTATTGTGTCTATGAACATTAAAGATGCATTTGTTCGTGGTGTGGAGCTCATGGACGTAATGGTAGATGAAGGTATAGAAAACAAAAAAGAGAAACCCCAGGATAACCATGTATCTCCGAGTATGCACGTTAAAGATCAGTCTAATCTGAGATCAAACAACAGCAGTCCCACCAGGAACATCGACTCAACATTCAAAGAGCAAGTCAAGACATCCAGCAGTCCGCAACATTTAAGCGCTCAAAAACTAGAGGAGATTTATAACAAGATGTCCCTGTCAGATGCGCAGGGGAACAGTAATAAGGACAGGGGCACGGGGTCCAAACCAGTGAGGCAGAGGGCGGAACTAGAGATGGGAGCGATACCGACAGCGCCTCTCTGCAGCACCGCAGATCCAGTGACAGATATGAAGAGCATTTCCAGTATTGATAGTTTCATGAGCTGCGCCACCGATTTTCCAGACAGCTCAAGGTTTTCCCAAAGTCCAATCGGCAGCATCCATCAGGGCAGAGTGAGCACCAACCCCAGCCTGGAGCCCACCTTAGAGGCAGATCACGAGGGGTCCCAGGGCTCTCTTACCCCCATGTCCAAGCAAAATCCTTATCAAGACCATCACATCAGTCGTCCGAACAAAGCGCATACAATACGAGTGAACTATCGGCGCGGGGAGGAGTCAGGAGCGGACAGTTCATCTGTGCAAAGTCCGGATGCATCTCTGTACACCACCGCTAGTAGCAGGACGCCCACCAAAAGCCCAGAGTACATTCGCCCAAATATTTTCACATTCCATGATTCGTCAATAAGCAAATTCATTGACGCAGATACAGATGAGGAGGAGCACCTTCATGACACAAGTGCAAACCCCACACGAAGACTCCTGGACAATGGCAGCCCCAAGTTTGGACGGCGTTCCAATCACACTCAGAGGAAGTTGAGCAATTCTTTGGGAATAGAAAGCCAGGATAACCACATGGCTCAGGATCTATCGCCACATCAGGGAGACAGCTCCAATGCATAAAAATATATAATATATTAAATAATGGTAAAGCACATTGAACTAACCCAAAAACTATGAACTCAAAAACTGAGAAGACTATGTTCCTAAGACCCTTTAGACTGGTTCTGTCTGTCAGTAACTAGACTCAAAGCAAAAACCTATTTTTCATATTTTCCTTTTCATTAGTAGCCACATTTTAAGTAGCAAGACTCAATGGGCATTTTAAAATACTAACTAGGAGTGCTTCAGTTGTGTTTTATGGACTGCCTATGATAAAGATAACATTTATTTTTGCTTCCTTTAAACTGGCCTTAGTTCATTCGCCTGTTTGTTGTGTGATTGCAAGATTATATATAAATGGAGACAGTTGTGTTTTTCTATGTCCAAACTACATTTTTGGTTGTCTGATTTTTCATCCAATGGGGCGTTTTGTTATTTTTACAGCGTAAATACACTTAAAATCCATTATTTTTTTCTGTGGGCCCACACAGCACCTTAAAGTCATCATTATTTTATCACACAAGGACTGCATTCATCTGCTGATTTTCTACATCCATGCTATTCTGTTTCAGGGGTCAATCAGAGTTCAAACTACACTATGTTATACAACCATAAGACAAAAGGCATTGCTCTTGTTGTAGCTAATACAAGTTAAAATGTGGCTCTGTAACAATGTGAAAAAACAGATTTATTGCATAAGAACTGCAACAATATATATTTTTAAGACTTTTCTAAATTTAAGGACTTGAAACATTGTGCTGATATTATAGTTTTGCACTCTTAAAATTTACCACATTTCATGAAGGAAGTTGGTTTGTAATATTTGCTATTGTCAGATGAAAGGTCCCAATTGGTCCTTTGGGTAACATGAAGAACCAAAGACTTGTCTGGTCACATGCATTTTACTGTCTATAGATGTGTAACTGCAACAACTGACAGAATCTTCCCTGTATGCAGAGCCATTGAACTTTTGAAGAAATAAACTTTTATCTTGGCTTTGAGATTTGCTCACACCAATGAAAGGATACAACGCTGCACTGCAAAGCTGTCCCCAAGATCAAGAAGGAAGGAAGATTTCAAATTGTAAAGCATCTAGGTTGTACTGTCTCTCTCCTCTGTGAAAACACTTAAGTTGAGAAATGAGATGAGATTTTGAAATATTGTAGGCTTTTCTCTTCCATCATTTCTGCTACAAGTCACTAACACAGCTACAGCCTGCCTCTCCTTGTCTCATTGATGGATGTTTAGTCATGCATGATTTCTTTTTTTACTTTTAAGATATCTAATGCATGCTTCACTGCTATTATGTTTTAATATGTTATTTGCTCTGCTTTATTGTTGTAACCACTCTATTAGTCAGTCCCTAACAGTGACAAATTAAACGGAATAAACAGTGTAATATGATTTGTATTACAAGACATTAGCAGACATTAAGACTTTAAGCGATAGTAGTTAGTTTATATGCTAGAAGAAAAAACTTATTAGCTATTAATACCTTTTTACTCATTCAAAATATTGTCTTCATTGGTAAAGATTACTGATATAGCAACAACAGCAACAAAAACCTCTACAGTGATGCCATAGGTCAAGACCATATCCTGTTTAGCCCCTTTCATTTGTCACATGTACTCTTTGTGCCTTTGCTGATGCTCTGATTACTGTTGTCAGAACCCCAATGACCCCTAAACAACAGCATGGCTGAAGAAATAGTATTTATGTTTTTTTAAAAGACTCCCCACAACCACCTGCTCTTCTAATCTACACCACATTTATTAGAAACATACAGGTGTGGTATTCAGTGTTAATAACTACAGTTTCCATGGTGATGGTTGAGCGGAGTGGATCATTTATATTTTATACGAGTTATAAGCCTTAGACTAAAATTACTCTGCACTGTTCAGGTGTGTTGATCATTTGAAAAGGAGAGCGACTCCAAGCACAGACCTCTGCCAAGGCATTGCAACTGTCTTGATATAATACTTGATGTGTTTTAAGGCTAGAAATTCACCTTTTCTACTGTTCTGATTCATTCTTATACCTATATCTCAATGGAAAAAATATACGCTATAGAATATCTTAAAGCTTAATTAATCCCATTTTGTATATGAGTTTGAAAGGCTCTGGGAATCTATAAATATCATCCCAGGTGAAAAAGTCTTGGCGGCGCAGAACAGCTCAATTAATTTTGTCAGTTTAGAGAAGTTGCTATCCAAAGATTCATGCTTACATTAAAATGGTCTTGCTTACAATCAAGCATTATGATGCATAATCGGTAAAGTAATCTATGATGCTCTGAACACTTTGACCAATGTTTATTACTACACATTTGAAAGTAACAGATTGTAAAGTGTCAGAATAAGCCTACAAAGCAGAGATTCATCCGTATGGGGTGTGGAGAAGTTGTCATAGCATTTTCATAACCCATTATTTGTGGGTGTTAGTTTCCTGGTATTGCTTTTGCATGAAAACAAACAACAATTTACAACAACAATTCACATATAATTGTTAATCGTTAGGGCAGCCTTGTTAATCGTTAGGGCAGTCCTAAATTCTCATTCTGAAACAATGGATAACTACAAGAGAGTAATGCTATGTCTGATGTGTAGTAACTTCAGCTTTTGGTAAACTAAAGCCTTTTGCCACCACAGTAGAACACTAAAACAAGCCATAGATAGTATCAGAAGTGTTTAGTGTAGCCCATTTTAACCTGCACTTTATGGATTTCTTAAACCACAATGTACATTTCTCCAGATACAAAAGCACAGTTGTTCAGCTGTTCACACTGGTTTAAAGCCAAAACAGAGATTTTAAGTCTGTGTGCTGCCCTTAAAAGTTTGGGATGTGTGCATTTTGTACAGTTTCATACTTGACTTTGTAGCAGATGAACTTTGTGATTTCCTGTTGTTCGACACATGTAGCAGTAAACGAAAGACCTTTGACAAACATGTAAATATTCTCTGGAATAAAACTCTTTAGGTATATATCATTTTAAAGCAGTTTTTCCCTTTACTGAATGATATTTAATAAATGATGACAAAGGAGTTGGTGAACTGGGTGTCCATTCATTCAAGTCTCCATTCCCCAGCGCACATTTTGTGAGATCAAAACTGGCCCTTCTTTTATACTTACATGGTCTGAATGCAGACTTGGGAAGCATTTTGTGCACTTGTGACAGGAGCTCTTGTGGGAGTTGTGTGTCCCATTTTTATGTAAAAATTAAGACATGTAAAAATTTATCATACAGGGTTTGCCAAGGGTGCAGCGTAGCCTATCGTATAGACCTGTTCAGGTTCACTTATTTTACATGCCACAGACATTACCTAGTTAAGTTTTCTTCACATGTACTGTCAAAAATAAGTATTAAGTTTTAGTAGCCCCACAGGAAGCAGCAATGTGATGGCCTATTAAATCTCACCCCGAGCTACAGATCAACAGCGCCCTCCAGTGTTCAATAGAAAATCTGTGTGATGTAACCTTTCTTTTATGTCAGTAAGGTTAGGTTTGGTGTGCGTTTGAGGAAAAGCTGTATATTATGAACTTGTGCAACGTAAGATGTTTATCTCCACAGCACTTAAAGCCAGGGGGTATATTAAACAACTTAAATAACAAATTGGGAATGTGCGCGCAACACAAACTAGTCAAGTGCAAATATTTGGAACAAAGCTCTTGACAAAATAGCCATAATTTATATCCTTACTAAAACGTAATAGGGTATTGACATATAAATGATCAAATAAACCCAGATAGTAAACTTTAGATTATTTGTTATAAGAAAAAAAAAAAGGTTTGAGGGAAACATACTTTTGGCACAGCTGGCATGTACGTTTATTTATTTTTTTATCAGCTTTGTTGTGTAGCTATATTGTGAGTGTTATTAGAATCGCTTAAGGCATGTCTCCATAATTAAGACCATGTGCATTAGTCTGCCTGTCACCAGACAAATGCCCCTGTGGTCTCTGGCGCTGTCATAATCCTTCACTCTCAGATTATATAAAATGTCAATCTAGTGTGACTTCACAGCGGGACACTGCACGCGCTCGCTCCCGTTGGTCACAGTGGCCCCGCACCTTGAGGGAGCAGGATGTTGCTCATAGTGGACCTGCTGCTGATGCTGATAAACCTGACGGTCTCCATCCTCTGCGCCGTGCTCAACACAGTGTTCAGGCCCAGACTCAAGTGCATAGACGGGGAGTTGTGCCTCATCACCGGAGCTGGGGGCGCGCTAGGTCGGCTCTTCGCGCTGGAGTTCGCTAAAGAGGGGGCGCACCTTGTACTCTGGGACTGTAACACCGAGGCCAATGAACAAACCGCAGAACTGGCGCGCGAGCTGGGCGTACAGGTGCACGCGTACACCGTGGACCTGTCCAAGCGTCAGAGCATCTATGACACCGCGGACCGAGTGAGGCGCGAGGTGGGACACGTGACTATTCTAGTGAACAACGCTGGAGTAGTGGCCGGGCGGAGGCTGCTGGACTGTCCAGATGAACTTTTGGAGAGGACGCTGTTAGTGAATTGCCATGCACTGTTCTGGGTAAGGTTCACGCACAGAGGCACAGGGCCTGTCTGACAGACAAGCATTATGTAACATGTGTTGAAGCTGTGATTGTGAACTCATGTGTGAGGGCTCAGAGACGGCAACCACGGGTTATCAGAGGTAACAGGGGTGGTCTGCAGCATGTGACTGACTTTCATTTTTAGAAAAGATTAGGAGTCTGTAAACTCATTACAAATACAACATCACATGTGCATTTGTCTAATGAGGGCTGCAAAGTGAAAGTTCTTTTTTTATTTTCCAGATGACAAAGGCCTTTTTGCCTCCGATGAAATCCAAGAACCATGGACACATCATAACTGTGGCCAGTGCATTGGGCTTGTTTAGCACAGCCTGTGTAGAGGTAATTATCTTTTGAAAAACTAAACAAATCATCCATTTGTCAATGACCGTCTATGAATGTTTTTCAGGATTACTGTGCCAGCAAGTTTGGAGCTGTGGGTTTTCATGAGTCCCTGACACATGAGCTACATGCTGAAAACCTTGACGGGATTAAAACAACTTTAGTTTGTCCATATATAGTGGACACCGGGATGTTTGCTGGCTGTGAGATAAGGTGAGATAAGACACCTTGTATGAATTACCAATGACAAAAATCTTTCATATTTAAACCTCATTTATTAGGCAGGAGCTACGGAGTCTAATCCCCCCTCTGGAACCCCTTTACACAGTTCAACAGTCAATGGAGGCCATTCTGTCAGAGCAACAAATGATCTGCATCCCCCGCCTCATGTATATCCCCTTTCTCACAAGAGCGTGAGTACAAATATGCAATAAAGCAAACTTGTCTCCTTAGCACATTTTAAATATTTGCTTGTGTTTTGTAGGTTGCTACCCTGGGAGGCTAATGTTGCCACTTATCGTTTTATGGGAGGAGACACATGTATGCTGCCCTTCATCAAGAACACTGAACAGAAGACATCCAAGGGTCATATCAACCAAAAATAGTATCATTCCACTTGGGGAGCACCAAAGAAATGCACGTTGGGATTTTGCTTTGTGTGAGTGTGATGTAGTGTATAAATCATCCTAAACACATTAACTGCAAGGAAATTGTGATATTATAAAAAGTAACAGAAGTAACGTAGCTAAACAAGTGCCTCTTTTTATTCACATGAAACAGTGACATTACTCTACAGGTAACATGCAAGAGATTACTAAGCATTATGTTTACGCAGCAGGGCAGTCTTCAATAACTGTAAAAGGGAATTCGATCATAGAAAAAAAAAGCGCTTATGTTTTGGATGTTAAGTGCTCATTACGATTCCCCTCTACTGCTAAGTGAAGTGTATGCAGTCATTTTGTCTGTATCTGTCCCATATCAAAATAAGACAAAACATCCGTTGTGGTATTTAAGAAAACCTTTGGACAGGTCTTCCCTTAATCCTTTTCCAGAAACGTTGTGATAAATTCCTCTGGAGAATAAACCACTGTCACCAATCCAAACCTGTAAGGACTTCAAACCAACTGTACAGTGGCTGCCTGTAGGTATCCCTGCAAGTACTGGAGTGCCTCTGCATTCAGGCTGGTGCTGATCATAGATGGGACCTGCACAAAAACAAAAGGTTTAGCTTTAAACAAATCCCTTTTGTTTTTTAAATTATAAAACTTTCTTCCTTTTCAGGCTGCTTGAGTTTTAAGTATGTACATCTTTATTTTATAAATGTTGGCACAAGTTCACACCTTACACCTTTAATTATACAATCTTTTCCACTATATCAATCTGCAGTCACATGTGGCTTGGTTTGAGATGAAGAGGGAATAAACAAGAGCCTTTTATCAAAAAAAATGGGTAACACTTTACAGCCTATTGCCATCATGGTAGGATGGAAATGGTACTAGAAGATATAGATTTTGCAGCCTTGTTTCTATATTACTACGGAGTTAAGACTAGGCATGTTTCCAGGTAATTACATTAGTCTTTATACTAAGAGTATAATTTACCCTTCCTGGACACGCAGTAGACAGTTTGTGCAAAGATTGTGCCAGGTGGATTTTGGGATTGCCAACAGCATCTCCGATTGGGTCGTGCTCCTTTTTCCCTGCAAAGGCCAGCTGTGAGAAAGCAGTCTGATATCCTGGAGTGTCCTCAATGTCAATGAAATGCTCGTCGTCAGGGATACTGTCATCTTCTGGTAGCTCAAACAAACCAATGAGGGCTTGGAGCAGAGGAGTCCTAAACACAAGCAGACATCATGAGCTAGAAATGATCACTCACGGTTTGGGCCTATTTTAGTTCTGTTCTAGACCTGTTGGGAAACAGGTGGTATGGCCTCATATTAGAGAAATATGAGGCCATACTGTGTGAATGAATTGAGAACAAGAAATAATTATCAATCAAAATACACTGGATGATTGGTATTTTATATTTATTGTTATTAGATTTTTGATTGAAGTCAGATTGAGTATATTACCAAAGTTTGGTGTAGTCTGTGTCCATCATAGCAGGGCATTCAGTCAGGATCTTAGTAATGCCAACTGCACAAATCTTTTTTTCCACAGATCCAGAAACCTTTTGCACCTCTGGAATCACAATTTTTTCCAAAACCATTCCAAACATTCTGAAAAAGTCAAGACAACATTATTAACTGTAAACATAAAAGTAATCACATTCTTTACAACTTACTTTGGCTGTATGTCATCAAAAATCTCTTGAAGGGCAATGGCCCCATATTTAACACCATACAAGTTAACAAAAACTAAGAAACCTGAGGAAAAGTATAAAAAAATTGTATAAAATTTAGATTGCTGAAATGTGTCATAAAATTTTTGTACTGACTCTTGATGAATTTGGTCGTTTTGGAGCTCTGGAGCCTCTGGAACAACAAAATGAAGATTTGTTTTCTGTACTGAGTAAGAGCCTCCCTGAAAGAATTTTGAAAGTAAAGTTAAAATACATTTGTCAAATCTGTCATTTTGGTCAATATTTTAGTGAATGTAAACTTACGGAGGCATGTGCTCTATGATGCTGTTGAGAAGGTAAAATCCTTGGTGGTCATTTGCCTTTGAGGCAATAAGTTTTTGAAAAACGCCAAGCAAACCAGGCTATGGAAGAATAAAAGTCAGGGTTCAAACACAGGAAAACTCACCTGCTTTTTATCAATTACTGCACGATTGAACTCACAATCTTGTCTGCAGCATTGGAGGCAATTGTTGCTCCTCCCTTCTCCAAATAAGCCTGAAGAAGACGCACAAGTGGAGGGATGTTCCCTGTCCGCTCCCAGAGCACGGGCTGCAGTAGGTGAGGGAACAGAGCCATGTACGAGTCAGGAATCGTGTTGGAGTGGATCTCCAGGAGAAGAGACATCACTTGGAACACATACGGAAGAAACTCTACAAATGAAAGACAAATGAATGAATGTTAACATGATTGACTGTAAAGTTTACTGTATAGACTAGATCATGTGACAGAGGGACACACCCTGGACATCATTCTGGAGGATTTCGGTAAAAACTGGGAAAAGTGCCTCCTCAAAGCTGCCCACAGTGGCAGGGTTGGCCTTGCAGGTGATGCGCACAGAAAGACACAGAGACTCAAAGAGATAGTGGTTGAAGTGAGGCTTGCTGGGATTCTGAGAAGAACACATAGTCAAGGTTCTTTAGGGGAAAAAAAAACAGTTCTGAGCTCAAATAAATAACGCAGGACTTACCTTGCTGACTAAGAGAAGCTTGTGAGTGAGCTGACCAATTAACGTGGGAATGTAGGGGACTATGGCCTCCTGCAGCAGTGAGAAACTGCGCATGATCGCTTTGAAAATAAAGTAAAAGAAACAAAGAGTGATGATTGTTTGCCTTTTGACCCTGATGTGTACAGAACCTTACAGTTACCTTTCATAATGTATTCATTTTCTGAAGATGCAGGGAAAGCCAGCGCCTTGAACAAGTTGTTGAGAAGTTGTTCTGTAAATGGTGCCATCTCCGCAGGAGTAATACTAAAACCAAAACAAAAAAAGTCAAAGAACAGCCTAAAAACATGATGTTGTTAATATTGACTAGATTTACAGTGTGGAGTTGTTGGGCCCTCTCATAGTAAACAGCCTCTCTAGAGCGTGAGCGGCATAGGTGTGTTGCACTGTGCTCTCTGCCTGAAGATGAGCGATGAGCAGTGGAATGGCCTGTATCAGATGCTCCTTGGGAAGCTGGCACCAGTACAGGTATGTAGAGTTAATACTGGCCTTTCATACAGGTTACAAAATGTATGAATGCATTCTTACTTGACTTCTAAAGATCATGGCGTATTTGATAGCATCTGCTTTTAACACTGGGAACTCGTTAACTGAAACCAAAAAAATAAGTGAAGCCAATACTGTTTTGGAATGCAAGTGCAAATGCAGACATTTTTCTTACCATTGGGAGATTTTAAATCTGGGAGGATGTGATTCACAAAGAACTCTGTTAGATTGACTAATTCATTAGCCTGTGTGATCCCATGCTGGCGGAAAGAAATAAAATACAGTTATTTTATTGAGCTAATTTTTCTATACAAATAGATTATCAGAATTAGTTCATTAATTTCATTCACCTTCTGTGTTTGAGCTTTGGATGCCAATGAGGTGACCAAATAAATTGCAGCATCTTTGTGTTTCCAGTTTGTTCCGGGATTTTTGGCAAATTCTGTAAGCATCGAGCTCACATAACCGGAAAAGATTGCGGTGACGGGACCCTCAAAATATTTACACAGACCCCTCACCAGGTCACATGCAGCCCTTCGTCGAGTGTCAATATCTAGGGGTATTTCAGAAATATTATGTTTATCATATTTAAACTCATTAACTGGATATACAAACAACTGTAGAGAAATACCAGATCCTTCAAGGTCCCTGCGAATGTATTCCTCTGAATTATCTTCAAATGCCTCTTCATCAGCACCTGAGGAATATGAATGGCTTTTTATCACTCTAATGTGGTTTTGGAATTGAGAGTAGAAAGTGAAATAAAAATGGGCTCACTTCTGAACTCCATGTTGGGCACAATGACCTTCTCACAGATGCTGGTGAGAATATTTTGGTCCTCAAATAGATGTTTATAGTGTGGCCTTTCACATACAGATGCCAAGAACTGGATAGCATTACTCACAAGCTGTAATACAAAAGACAGTCTTTAGTAACTTCACAATATATATTAAAATAAACACTGGCGTGAGATCTCACCAGGTCATACTTGACTTCTTGGCCTGTGGAGACTAAAAGGTTCCATATGGCAGTGACAAAGCGTGGGAGGTAAGGCTGAAACTCCTCATCATATTTTTGAGCATAAAGAGCAGCGTTATCACAGATTTGAGACTTAAGTAGCTCCAAAAGACCTGCTTCTTCCTCGTCCTGATAGAGTGATGAACTGAACTTAAAATCATACAATAGATTGATTTGAATACAGGTCACGCAATTTCTAATAACTTACATCCGTTTGAAGAAGTTTATTATCTATTGTGAGTAAAGCATGAAAATTTGTCATCCAGGTCTCCATATTGTCTTCAAAAAACTCTGGAAGGTCCTAAACAGCAAAAAAGAAAATGTACCAATGGTCCATAAGCAATATGGGTGACAACACAACAATGACATTAAAGAGCAGCATACAATGTAAAGATTAGTGTATAATACAACAGCACTGACCTGGAAGTTGAGGCTGTAGAAGAGCTTACAGATCAGAGTGAGTGATGAGAAGAGGACCTTTAAGGCATTAATATCTGTAGCATGGGTCTGACACAATTCAATAGTACCCTACAAATCATCAGATCAAACGTTTCAATCAAACGTTTCAATACATTTTATGGGTTATTGTGTAAAATACAAACCTTAAACAGGTTAGTCAGTGGCAGAGCAAATGTGTCCAGAACCAATTTAATCTCTGTCCAAAGCTCATTAGATTTGAACTCGTGACGATACCTTTAATAAAAAAATAAAAGAAAGAAAAAAAGCATGATAACTACAATGTTTTTTCAGTTTACAAATTAGCTACTACACAGGTGACAGTGAGTTGTACCTCTTGAAAAGGGAGTGTGCAGTTCGTAGTACTCCATTAATAATGTGAAAGTCTCCACTCCCAAAGCGGTTTACCATCTCTGTCAAGAGGTCAGGCCATTTTTGAGGAAAATCCTCCCGTCCAATGATGCTGATGGCATCACTTAACTGTTGCGATAAAAACAAACTTGTTCACAAGCTCCACCCAAATTAAGTTATTATATAATAGATGAAAACATACCTGTTTCTGAATCTGCTCTGGGCTACTGAGCATAAGATTAACAATGTTGGCCTTGATTGCGATTCTGTCTGCATCAGAGATTTTATTGGGCTCATCTTCAACCTATGAAAATAATATTTAACAAATAAAACATGTGTTTGACACAATACTGTTTAAAAACTAAATAGTGAACATAAAAATGTACAGTTTTTCCCACTTACAATGCGCCAATTCCTTTTGATGTAATTCTTAAATGTCACTGCAGCGCAAACACGGATAACCCCGTCCTGGGACTTTTCCAGTAATGTGAGTAGTAACAAAGGATAGTTCTGGTTTCCCTCTACGGACTCAAGGAACTTTTCAGCTGAGGGACAAAAGCAGAAGTTAGGCTTCAAAACTTAGGTCACCAATGAGGTGTGCACAAGTTTAAAATGACTTTACCAGGGCGTCTGACTGAAGGATCTGGGTCAAGTGTTTTCCTGAGAAACTCGGTCAGACTTTGTAGATGAGCATTATTCAGTTCCATGTTTTAACTGAGAATAAAATGAAAAGGGGAAATGTGATCGGTGCTTCATACAAAAAACAATCTTACAAATAATTCAGCAGGCCTTTAAAAAAGTATAAAAGTATTAAATATGCATTAGGCCAGTATAAGTACAGTTTTCGAGGCAAATTAGATGTTCACAAGTATAAAATAAACTGAATAAACCAAAATATGATAAATCGTTGACACTTTCGAGTTTGACGTTATTTTAGCTGAAGCTAATCTGGGTGACCAAGCTTCATTGAATGGCACTACGCCGCTAGCACGCCGTCTGAAACACATCATGCAGTCTGTATTAGCTAGCTTTTGAGTCATGTTTATGCAAAATTTTCGGCTGGATAACATGGGAATTGTAGAGAAGGATCTTGTACGCTCTTAGGTCGTGTTATACTTTATCACAAAATTATATTACAGCTTTCATGGGATGCATTTTCCATCATCAATGAGTAGACAGACTATTCTAGCAACCCGGTGTTAGCGCTAGCCTGCTAGATTGTGCTACATACAAACTTAGCGAAGGTTGAATAAGCGCCTTTATGCATACAGATTTCTCCCTGTAATTTCAAGGACACTATGCTGACAGTGGCGTATAAACCTCTTATATATCAGATTATAAGATCTTACCTTTAAAGGTTAACAGTGTGGGACAATGCCCTGCTCAGAGGTGCTCCCTGTGCCAGCTTTCAAATGTCTGAGCAAAAGGAACTGCGCGGTCAGTGAAAAGCGCATGCGCACAAGTCACACTCAAACTACTGGACCCGCCCACGTGTTCAGACAAGGTAAGTTTATTTTTCTGCTCCGTAAGATGCACACTTCATGTGTGCAAGATGTGTGTAAGATGCACACTTTATATGTGCATCTAGAAAACAAGTACCGTCAATTAGACTCATACACCCAAGTTTAACTGTTCACAATTTAATTGTGAATGTAATGAAGGCATTGAATTCAAAATGACATTCATAACAACAATAATGCACTTGATGAACTGTGAAATGAAAACTATTTTAACACAGAATACACCTTTCTTGAATACAAACATATTTAAGACAACACAAAGTTAACATTTTAAAGAGCATTACGTTCTTCCTGTCTCACAGGTGAAAACCAGAGGCTCAGTTATAAGCAAAGCTACAGGTTGTGCATCTGGCGAATATTCAGGGTGTCCCTCAGCATGAGGTCCCGCAGCCGCCAAAGAGCATCTGCCATCGTCTTGTGGGCCCCTTTACTCTTCAGCCAGTGGGATGGTAGTCTGCTCTCTTGTTCTTTTGTCAGTCGGACATCTTGTTTCTTAACTGAAATAGCAAGTTTTTATAGTTAATGTATGAAGATAAACAGAAGATGTAAAAAAAACCAAAATGGTACTATGATACCTGATAGTGTTTGGTCCCACTTGCTGACAGTGGAAGATTCTGGCGTCAGACCCTCAATATACTTCAGATACGCCTCAGAGTGAAGCAGCCGCTGAGACTTGGCAGGTGGAGACACAAACAGTGGTGTGGAGGGCTGGTGTGCTGCTTGTCCTGTCTGACCAGAGAATGCGGGTGTGGCCTGCTGTCCTGTCCCAGTCAAACCCACCTAAAGGAAAAAGTCATTTGTTAGGTTCCTCTGCCAATATAATTTCACACAGGACATTCTACATGGTTAGCTCTGAAGTGATAAAAGTTATATTTTACCAGAGTGCATTGCAAAAGCTATTACAGGGAACAAGCAAATAAAGAAATAAAGGTTAAAATCCAAAAAAGCATAGCACTTTACCTGGGATCCATGAACATTTCCTCCTCCACTTCCACCACCAATACCATTGAGTCCTTAGAAATAAATGTGCAACAAATGTATTGTTATTATCCCATAAAGAGATGCATAATCAGTAGCTTTAAGGAATGCCAATCCTAATCATTTTTTCTTACTGTGAGATTAATTTCTTTAGTGGAAGCTTTTAAGTCCCAGCTATGTAGTAATCTTCAAATTAAAATTTGTGGTACAGGTAGCCCCTCCAGTTAGTAGACGGGTGACAGGAAGCAACTGCGTGGCAGGTGAGGTGGCTATGACAGGACTCTTACCCAGGTGTGGCATTCCGGGAAGCCCAGGCAAAACAAGCAGAGGATGTGGGGGGAACACCGGCGCCCCCATGTGATGTGGTGGGATGCCAGTCAAACTAACCATGCCTTCAACATGGCCCTGCCAGGGCATCGTAACTGTCCTATATGCAGCCATCGCACCTTCTCACGATGGGTTAAGTAACAAACACAACAGTATCATGCATTGGTTACACATGCAACAACTACTACATAAACAAACACAAGATATTCAACCAAAGAAATAAAAATATGCAAGAGACATGCATTCAACTACATAAACTCCAAACCTTGAATTGTGTACAAAAATGCAGTTACTTTAAAGTAAAATTATTCTGAAAGGAGGTTCCAATCTAGATCAGTCTGCACTGGCGTACACATATCAAGGTTTTAGTTAAAGATAAAGAGTTATCTGAAGCACCACACTATTGCACAATACATGTTAATATTAGGTTATTGTTATTGAAGGTGTTAATTCTAGCAGTTCAGCTTCTTATTCCAGCCTTCTACGCACACTCCACATCTATGAGGGGTTACCTGACATAGAGGTCATGCTGGGATTTAGCATGCCCATAGGGGTTGGAGGAGGCACCACCCCCATCAGTGCCCCTAACGGGGTACCTGCTCTTGGGGAAGTCAGATGAGTGGATCTCTCACGCTCCTGCTGCTCGGCCACTTTTGCTGCCCTCTCTGCAAAGGTCAGATACAAAACATTTATTAACAAAATTAAATAGATTAAAAAACAGTAACACAATTAGGCATAACATTTTACTAATGTTGTTTTTTTGTTAACGGGTTAACAAAAGAATTACCTTAACTAATATTAGCTAAATTAAACATTCTAATGTGAAGGCAATGAGTGAGAGATATAAAATACAGCTAGTCATCATCACACATGTGTAGTTAATGTGTTGTACCTTCATACTCAGCTTTTCGGGAACTCTCCAAGTTTCTCCATTCTGTCCCAACAAGTCGGCTCAGATCCCCAAAGGAGAAGTCCGGGTGCTGGGCTTTAATTACAGCCCGCATCTCACTGCTGAACAGGATGTAGCCGCTCATGTTAATTTTCCTTTTGGAGCCCTCTTTCTTTGAAAGACCCTTCAGGGATTTAGGTGTTGACTGTTCAAATAAAACAGTTATATTCAATGTTATCAACTTATTTTTGTGAAAACATACTTTTGTTTTATTACACCTGTGGGGGGGTGTAGGCCAACAAGTCCAAGTCACTGGACAGTGAAGACTGCAAGTGAGAATGATCTAAATCTGGATCATCATCTCCAAGGTCCTCCAGCTCTTCATCTGTCATGTCAGCAAACTTGGCCTCCAGTTCTTCAATCTTCTGGTCCAGAAGTGGTGATGGCTCTTTCTGAGGTACAATAAGCTTCCTGCAGGAGAAAAATTATATTGCTCTGTAGGTTGTTAACTTTTTGTATAACGTGGAAGTTTGTTTCATAATGACAAACCGAAAATAGTAGATTTCATCCTCGATTACTTTCCCAGAAAGTGAAAAGCGTTTGAGACCCTTAAATTTCTTCATTTGTTTCTCATTGTCAATGTAACGGCTCTCACACAGAAGTACATTCTCCTCTGGTATCTCAGTTTGCCGACATGAAAGGTAGTCTTTGAAAGATAACACAACACACTTCCCTGTAAAATAAGCAATGTTAACACAGTTTGTTAATTTAAAATCTATTTAAGTTAAATTGACAGTTACCTATAATGCAGGTCATTGGACAGGTCTCCTCCAGGTTGCTGAGAAACACTTCTCTTTTGTAAAACATCTTGGTTGGTTCATGTTCAGTTTCCTCAGGATGAATGAAGATTGGACCAAAAAAGTATCCAGCTCCATCACGCATCCACATTTTCTCAATTCTATATAAAAATGCATTATGTTTATTTTTATATTTAAGTAAATGTTTTATGTTATATTCACTGTTAAATAAATTGGTTGGGTAAGGTAATACTCTACCTGCCCACTCGGTGGCGCACTAACCCATGGGAACCAATGTATACAAAGTCTCCAACTTTGTGCCACAGGTTGTTATAGCAGAGTTGCTCATAGTACTGACAACCGGGCTCACCATTACTCATTTCCATTGGGACATCCTCTCTCTCCTGTTGAATGAAACCATTTATGTCTCTTTATGCAAACGAAAAATCCTAAAAGTAAAACATATTTTACCTTGTCAATTATGGAATCTTGTAACTTGCTTTCATTTTCTGTGTGAGTGGTCTCTACTGGTTTTTCCTCTTGTTTTGGAGCAAACATAGATGCCACTCGAACCACTGGCAGAGGAACCTCTCGGGGCAATAGCCGCACGGAGTTCAGAGGCATGGCCCACAGCTTGATCTTTTTAAAGGACTTGGACTTGGCAGAGTAACGTGATTCACAAACATACACATTATCTGGCTCAAACCCGTCAGGCTGAAGTTTGAAATATTCCTTAAGATATATAAGATAACAGTTAATCCAAAGGACATATGTTGATAAATTATAAAAATACAAGACAAAAAGCTCACACCTTCACAAACATAACTACACATTTTCCTAATATCTTGCTGACTGGTGCTTTGTTATAATAGTCGCTCTTGAAAACCTCTTTTTCTAAGAACTTTCTTGTGGCAAGGTGAAAAGTTTCATTTGGTCTGTAAAACCAGCAGCCATACAACCATTTTTCACCTGTAATTTTGGTAGAGATATACACAAGATTTGACACATACAGTTGATGAATATTGCTCTTTCTTCTTTTGTAATAAGTGAGTATCTACTGTTAATCTCACCAGTGTCATCCTCCCAAAGGCGTTCTATGTAGATGATATGAGGCTGGAGGTTGGGCTCCGCAGGCTCCACATACACATAGTCCCCAACATGATATTTACTGTCTTTGAAGCTACAGTCCTGGCTGTATGTGCGTTGTGTGCTGGAGGACCACACCCCTTCCACTGTGTCCTCTCGCTTTTCAGCTTCTACAAAGAATAAGATTAAAACTCATTCAAGTGAATAATAAGTAAAAAAAAAAAACATACTTGATTAACATTTTAAAGCAACAATGTGGTAACCTGTGTGATTCCATGGAAATAGAAAGTTAAAATCCTAATTTGGGACATCCTCCATGGAGATGGATATGTTTACACTATATATCAACACTTTTAAATAATTAAAGAATACAATTTTACAAAGTCTAAATTAAACAGCAGGACTAAGAAATGAATACAATCTTTTAATCAAACAACTACGGAGCTCAACAAATAAATGTGAAGTAAATTCCACATAATTTTTTTCCTATAGCCTTTCCGAGAAAAAAAAAAAAAAAAAAAAAGTTATATTAAAAGTTTGAAAGGTTGCTCATCTACCTATAATTTTATTTAAAATCTGTTTCTGAAATACCCTGTTTCTCCTCCTCTCTCTTTACTTTGTCTTCCTCAAACTCTTTGGGGAGCTTCTCCTTTTTCTCCTTCTCCACATCAGAGTGCAGGTGTTTGGAGGTGTAGCTCAGAGCAGGAGACATCAGGATCTCTCCATTCTTACAAAGCTCATCTCGGATCCGAATTAAAAACTGCTGCAGCTCCACGGCATCCTCAAAGATCTCTGAGTCAGTCCTGCAACAAACACATAAAACAAAAAAAATACATATACAGTACCACCTAAGAAAACAAGTTTAAGCTTAGTTAAT